TCATTGCTGTAGCAACTTAACAATCAATGCTTATTAAAAGTATATTGTTTGAGAAACTAATTATTCATTAATGTTCAGAAAGTTCTCAAACTTCAAAAGTATTATATCTCTTAGGACTTTCTAATGCCTCTTGAAATGAAAATTAAAAAATACTTTTTGCATAAATCACTCTCTTCAAACTCGAAACAAAAGGGACAGCTGAAGGAGTTCTTCCTTAATTGCAATGGCAACTTGTTCCAACACTCTCAAATGTTCAGCTAATCCAGCATAGATGTTAACTGAGAAGATCAGGTCACATTATCAATACACAGCTTTCTCTCTGACACCCTTCACTTCCTCACTTTTAATCTGTGTATCCTGCTCACCAAAAGCAGCCTGACTGCAGCAGCACAGACTCTGTGTTGTGTAACCCATGCCCAGGAAGGCACACTCAGGCACCTCTGGCTCACAGCACAGCAGAAAGGAGCTGGGCCCACTTAGCTGTAACTGGAACCAAAACATTATGTGAGAAACAGTCTACTGAACAGTAGGTACTGAACAAGCCTCTCCCAGGCAGACCTAGCAGGTTCATATCTGACTTCCTATTTGACTCGTGTCCAGGGAGCACACACAGTCAGGAGTGCTGCCATCAGACCTGACAACTCATGCAAGGCAATTAATGCAGGGATTGTTACGGGATGGAGCGCACAGGGGGCCAGAGCTGCTACTCAGTGCTGCTGAAGTCAGTGCAGGGATGGTGGTGCAATGCCAAAGGATGCTACCCCCTGCAGTCCTTGGCATGTCAGAGGCCTGATTCCAGACTGCTCTCATTGAGCAGTTTTAGGGAGTAGCAAAGAACACTTGGTAGTAGATTTTTACTACCAAGGACATATTGGTGCATACTGCAAAAAGAACTTTAACCACTACTCTGTGTACTTTAAATTTAGATGTAAGATGAAGAGTTTGGAACAGGAAGGGCTCTCCTGAAGCATGAAGACCAGTCCCAGCAGTTATAGCAGGCAATTGCTTTATCACAATACCTTTAACTAGCTTCAAGATAGAACTTAATCAGTTTATTAAGTTTTAATTCCCTCCCCACCTCCTTTTGCCCCCCTACATGTCAGTCCTCTGATGGTTAGAACTGTTATAATTTACAACCTAATTTAATTTATGAGCTGATTAAATTAATAATTTTCTTGTGTCAACATCATCCTTTACCTAAAAAAAAAGGGGTTTTTTACCCTTAAGTTTATACATATAATGTAGGCTGTGGGAAAATGATTTATCACCTCAGTTAAATATTTTCTTATCCTTTGCTTTGCAGGCAAAAGAAAGAAACACATTTTTCTTTTTCAAAATAGGCACCCTTTCCTCCACATGTTTCTAGAAGCATTATTTTGTCAAATCTACTTCAGTGTGAGTAAATATTTTCAAAATGTAGGTGGCCAGTACTGCATACATCACTACTGCTTTCTGAAAATACTTTTTTTTTACACTTGCCTCATCTGAAAATGTCTTTCCTGGATGCCATACATACAAACCATAGATATTTTAAAATAGTGCTGAAAATCAGAGTAGATTGTTGTGGTAACCTGCTATTCTCTTTGAAAATGCCTGCCTGAATATACCTTATAATCCTTGTCTTTTCCAGTTTGCATCCATTCTTCCTGAAAACAGGAATTCCTTAATTTGTTTATGAAATGTCATGTGAAACAATGTCAAAAGCATTGACATTATTAACATCAAGATATTAACATCAAGATATTTGACATCCACTTTTCTTCCAGGATTCACAATGCATGTTACCCTGTCACAAAAACAAGATGGGTTTGATGCTTCCTGATTCTGACAGATCCATGTATGCTCTTACTCATCACCCTTGTTCTCTTGTAGGAGTTTACTGAATTGTTTGATAACTTATGCAAGTATTTTTTCTAGAAGCTGAAGTTCAGCTGTGAATTTATAAACACCCAGATCCTTCTGTTTTTTGCTTTCAGTATATGGGTAGCACACATTTCCCTCTCATGCCACTGTTAAAAAATCCAAAGTCATTACATACAGTTTCTATTTCATCTTTACTGCCATCAAAGAAATAAACATGCAGCCAGGACAGATATATTTAGAATCTGATGCAAAACTAACTGCCTGATAACACTGGAAAATGGGAGAGAGGAGTTAACAAAAAAGCAAAAGATTTATTCAAGGACAGAGATTTCAGAAATGAGAGGTGTATGGCAAAAATGTTCATTGTTTTCCTTAAAATTAATAAACAGGGAGAATTTTTAGCAAAAAATTGTTGCAAATGGGCTGCCAGCATCTTACACATACTTGATGAAATCAGTGCACCTCTGAAAATGTTAACTGTAAATGAAAATATTAACACTATTAAGGCAAGATTAACAAACCTTAAATGTTATAACTGAAAGACACAAAATTTTAGCAATTCATCAGCAGGGCAATATAAAAATATTCTTACATTCAAAATAAGATATAGCAGGCACAGGTACATATGAAGTGGACAGGAAAACTAACAGACTCATACAGATGTGGACACCTACATCTTGCTTCACAGAGGTGAGTGGTGACTGGCCAGCCTAGTGTTATACAACTTGTGGTAAGCCAGTCAGCAACTGCTGTAATCACTAAAACATAGACTGCTAGAGTATGGTGCAACTGAAAATTTTGAAATATAGACAGCAGGATCAAAAGCTTTCTGAAATGTCTGTGGCCTCATGTCTCAAAACATTCTTGAAAAGTGAATGGAGATATTATTTTATTCTGAGAACTAATAGCTGGATATAATAAAGACTTCTAGAGCAGCTAAAAACTACCATTTAAGAGGTTTTTAGCTGCTCTAAAAGGTAACCCAGGCTTAGGATTGTTGTGTTATATGTTGATGAATCACTGGATAAAATCTGCAAACCAGGCTAGGTAGGAATTTGTGTCCATGATTCACTATCCCTTTGAGAGAATTCAAATTAGTTGTTTACCAACTCATACTACCTCAGATTCAGTAAATTTTAAATTATTTTATTTTCTTATGATATTTCAAAAAGAAAAAAAATATCTAATCCTTTTTTCATAGCTGTAGGACAGGACTAGACTGTACATTCTTGGCAGAAAGTTTGAGTTTGTTGTTTCTTGGGAAAATATGCTAGCCACAGTCGTCTATGAAAGGCTGATGTCATAGACACACATTTTTATTGAAAACACTGGCTGCAATTTCATCCATGTTTACTACTTGCACTCAGAGAATGTTCAACAGGTCAGTTCCCTGTGGATCTAACTCTGGGTTCAGGTCTGAGGTAAATGGTTGTGCTGTGCACAGGAGAGCAATTCTGAGTATTGATATGGGGAATTTGGGACTGATGGCAGCAAAACAGAGATCTTTTTCTGATTTGCAGTTGGTGTTTACCATTGCAATTAAATTTTAAAAGTTGTATTGTGTGTAACTATTGGTGAAAATAATCTATCTTTCACTTACATTCTTCTACATATAAACAGTTTAAGGTTGCCTGCAGTCAACAGAGTTCACTAGTCTTGATGTAAGACTGATATTCCACTAATTAATTTAGGCCAGCTGTATTTCTGTGACCAGCAGCTGGAGAGGGGCAATGACTGCGGGCACACATGTTCAGGTGCTGACAACTGGCAGTTACAGGTCGTCAGAAACTGAAATGTTATGGTTTGTGGCTCAAACATTGTTATGAAGGACTTCTGTCCATTATGGCAAAACTGTATGAAGAAGCTGCAACCACCAAAGCCCACCCCTCCCTTAGGATGCCTCCAAATGGAAACTTTGGATCATGAATTAAGCTACTTAAGGGAACTTGAGATAAGATAAAAGTGAGACTATTGTTCAATCATATCAGGTCTAGGGAGAAGAAAACAAGGCTGAGGAACAAGAATACATCCACAAAAAAAGCCAAACCCAGCAGCTGTCCTGAAAGTCATCCCTGGTTGGGTTTGAGGTGGAGGAGGCCATAGACCACAAGCCCATCTGCTGAGGCCACATTTGCATACACTCCCCCACAACCTAGGGAAGACAAGGGACTTGGGTATGTGGCATAACTTCTGGTCAGAGGGGGTGAACACCCATCCTCCCTTACACAAACTGTCTCAGCTGTAAAGCTCCCCACCCCGGGAAGGCCATATTCTGGGATTTGCATGTGAGGGGCAGCTGAGGGGGTGTCTATCAAAGACCCCCTGGAGTGCTCCCCTGAGGGTCCCCTAGAGAGCTCCTGAGGCCTTGCACCAGAGGACTGCACATGATGCAAAATGATGCAACAGATCCAGAGTCTGTTACAAGAGACTATGCAAAGGCAGTTCCAGGAGGCATTCCCACCTTGCCCAAAGGTATATTCATTCACTGGATACTGTTCGGGGGGGCGGGGGGGGGGGGGGGGGGGGGGCTCCTCACCAAGAAAACCTGATCGAGAGGATCAATAGGATGCTGTTAGGATCCACACAGTGGCTGTATTTTCTACTTAATCTGTCTCTGTCACTACCTTTATCCTCCCACCTATTTTCTATCTCTTTCATTCACATTCTCTTTCTCTTTCACATTTACTGTTAAATTACTGTTAAATAAAATTGAAACTATTGACTTTGGCATATAGTCTTGTTTTCACCTAAATTCAGTCAGAGGCATCACTCTCAAAATTTTAAAAACTGGATCTCAAGACTGGGCAGGCCAATTGAATGAAGCAGCTGGATGCACAATCCACATTGTACATATGGATATATATTTCTCATCACTGGACCTCCATCCTGTCCAGCCAGAGAGGGAAGGAGGCTGTTGGTGCACCCTGTTATCATATGGGTGCTCTGTGGATATATACATGTGTATATATGTATGTAAATAGCTAGGTATGACTGCATATGTAGGATATCTATGGGGTCTGTGTGTGTATACCTGCTTAGAATCTTCAGCCTTGCCACGGTTTGGACATAAGAACAGCATTGTAATGAAATAATTTTGTTTATTGCCTGTATACTTAAATTGGTTTTCTTTTTAATAGGTGAGTTAATTGTGGTTACATTGCTCGCCTAACCATTTTGCTCCCTAAGGCAAAGAAAGTGAGTAACAAAACCTATAGAGCTTCAACTCTGGATTTGCATTAAGAGAGTTGTTACAATTAATTTGTTTCTTATTTTTTCAGACAAGTACATTTTGGAACGAAGTAGTACTTGGCATCCAACAAAAACTTTACATCTGTTCCTTTTAAGCTCATTCTAAAGATCGCCTGTGCCTTTACAACACAAGGAGGGAGAGAAAGAGTCCTTCATTTAGCTCATTTTTCAGCTGCATAAGTCAGTTTGACTTGTAATGATATTGTTATTGAAAAGGAAAACCAATCTTTGGTTTGTGCTGATGAGAAATTATATTTTGCTACATTTTCCACATGATTTTTTCCCTAGGTTATGCAGAACTAATAGAATTTAAGTAGAAGTCAATTATTTTGCAGTGTACTTCCATTATTTTGGAATAAATACTTTTGCTGAAAAAAGAATCTGTATAATTTGAGATAATTTTTTTCCCAGTAGATGAATGAAAATTCTTAATGGTATATGAGACTGCAACTAAAATATTACAGGAGACTATGTTCATTCATAAAGCTGTTTAAATTTGTATGTGCAATGATCACGATAGATTATATGGGAAGAGCAGAGACTGTATGGAATTTTCTGAACAAGCTCAGATCACAAAGATGTCATGACTTGAGAGCCCAAGAAAATCAGTACTGTAAGAAGAACTCAAGGAATAATGTATTATTACAGTAGCAAGTACATTCAAATGAAATTGGTGTTTGGTACAGCCACACACCTTCACAGAGCTGTATGAACAAAGGCTGATTATGTCTCAGCAGCCCGGAGGAAACAAGCACTTCCCTGAAAGGAAGTTCTTAAAACCACCCTACATGCTTCATGTGTCCTTTTACAAACTGTTGGTAGATTTCAGCTATTTTGCTTGTTAGTTTAATCATATAGGAATATTACCATATTCTGAATTTTCAGGATAATTTCCTATATAATTATCCTTCCTTGGTTCAAAAATCAAATATTTTTCTTATATCCTCTATACAAAAGTACCTAATATACTTTTTTTTTTTTTGCTTATCTAAGCAGTTCATTATCTCAAGATAATTGTTCATAAGCAAACCTTAATTTCCTCATTTTTCAAGCCATTGCTCAGCATTGGATTTAAAAAAGAGATACCAGCTGATATCCATCTTCTGTACTTTGTTCAGTTTCCTTCTCTAAAAAAAAAGTGAACTCTGTAACACATCCAATTTTATACAAATCTGAACAGGCAAGTTTGCAAAAAGTCTGTAAGCACTTGAATGTTTTCATTACCTGTTGGGAAAAAAAATTCTCAGTGAACGCCACTACCTTTCTATTGTCTGATTTCAAAGGATGTGTCAAGCGTTGTTACACAATACAACAATAAACTAATTTTCTATTCTTCGTGGCAATAGATAGTTTAACTTATTGCAAAGTACAGTAAATCTAGTTCAAACCAAGTTTCTTGTATTCATATGTATTTAGAGGAATCAAGCAGATAATGGGGTTTTTACTTCTTATTCTCCCAGAATTCTGAGACAAGGTTCTCTGCAACTTCTCAAGAAGTTTGTGTATCTCTTTGCACTGGATGTGCATGGTGAGGTGGTGGCCAGGGGGCTGCAGGGTGAGAGGCTGGGGCTGCCCAGGTGCACATGGATGGTTCCAGCCAGCTCCAGCCAACACACACAGGGCACAGACAGCAGAGCCTCTCTATTGTGCCACAGTGATGGCTCCTCTGTGATACTGCATTTGAGAGAGGGCAGAAAACCTGTATTTGAGAAAGGGCAAACCGGGAGGGGAGGCAGGAGTAAAAGTAGTGTAGAACAGCAGAAAAACCACCAAAGTCAGACAAGTGGGGTGAAGAGCTGCTCCGTGGCAGAGTGGTTATTTCCTTCCACAGAAGGAAAACCTGCTCTAGAGAAGCAGGTTTTCCTGGAGCATTGCTGCCAGTGGAAGAACTCACACTGAAGCAGAGGAAAGGTGTGAGAAGACGGGAATGTCAGAGAACAGCAGCTAAGTGTAGACCATAGGGTGCCTTCCTCATTTTTTTTCTTGCTGAAGGGACTGAGGGTATCCTGCAGGGATAAAGAGAGGGATTGGAAATAAGGAGTGAAGTTAAACCTGGCAATGCAGGAGAAAAGGATTTGTGACCTTGTGCATGGCCTTATTGGACCTCATGAGGTTTCCACTGGCCCACTTCTTGAGCTTGTCTAGGTCCTTCTGCATGGCTTCCTGTCCTTTGGGTATATCAATTATACCACTCACCTTAGTGATATCAATCCATCCATATGTGGATTTGCTAGGAAAGAGGGAACATCTGTCTAAGTGTGTTTGTGAAGTCTGGCACAGTGTTTGCATCTGAGTTATCTGAAATGGGTTCATTTTTTTTAATATATAAACGTTTTTATTTAATGAAAATTTGTATGTTAATACAATTAATATTACAAAAATTCTTATTCGTGTAAAGTACTTTCTAAAATTATTGAAGGATGTATCTTTTTTACTTCAGAGGCTGGGGAAAAAATGTGAACTCCTTTCCCTCCCTCCCTCTCTCCCTCCTTCTCTCCCTCCCTCCTATCACCCTTAGCTAGAATAGAGCTCTCCAGGGAGTCACTCCTACCTCTAAAATAGTTCAACCCCTTCCCTGAAAAATGGAAAGAATAAGATAATTGTCATCCTAGAAACCTTTTCTATTCACAGATGAGCTAGATTTGCCCTTACACATTTTTTTCCTCCTTGATGTCAATAGTTAATCATTCTCCTACCCACTATTGCAAGACCCAAGTTATTTTTAATGAGTTGTACTTCCTACTTCTTAGTAGTAACTACTCAAAAATAATGTTCCTTGAAGTACTTAGAATCGCTAGCAGTAAGTGGAAGATTCAAGAATAGGACTTGTCTTAGCCAACAATCTGAAACGATGTCCTTTCTTCTTCTCCTGTTTTTTTTTTATTTTGACAAACATATAGTTTAGCATGTTTGCATGTTACTGAAATGGTAATTAGCATGCAGTTAGTTCCTATGTTTGAGTTGAACTAAAGGTCTTTGGAGTAAATGGAAATAGTACAATTAATGTCAATGGACAAAGAGCCATTGCATAGCGCAGAGGAAAAAGACAAGCCTGACAAATGTACTAAAATTTAAAGAAATCCAGCTTGGTTTCTTGCTTTGTCTACCAGGCAGACAGAATTAATTCCACTGCTGTCAGTTTGGCACTTTGTAGTAGTGTTTTGTTCACTTCAGAAAAGGAAATAGAAGAAAATACATTTTAATGAGTGTCTGCTATGCTGTTAAATTAGAGGTAATAATCTTATAATGGAATTTGTATTATTTTGGAAATGATCATCATTTAAGTTTTGTTAGTCATCTTTCTGCATGTTACTTCTATAAGTATTTTTGACATACATCCAAGAAGACCAGGTTCAGGAAATTCCTCTAAAACCAAATAAAGGTTTAATTTCCATTAAAGAGAATTAAATATACGTTTCAAAGAAAATCTCAACATGCCAACAAAACATTTTAGCCCCTTCCAGCAGAACAGGTAATTATTATGCATTTGAAAAGGGAGTAAGGATCATTACTGAAGACCTCAGTCATACAACAGGTCTCTTACAGCAAGAAAAAAAAGCATATGCTAGAATAAATTTCTGCATAAACTTTAACAAAAATTTTAGGTCTGATGTTTAAAGGAATAGGAAGAAACCTAATAATTACAAGGTATTCAGGTAGTAAAGATAGATGCATTTTATTCAAAGATGTCTTTTTCAAAGATTTTTGAAAACATTTAGAGGAAATAGAGAAATTGGTGGTACGTATTTACCATGAAATTTGTAATGCCATAACACTGGATCAGCTATCTCAATACCTAATCAAGTTGGCTTGTGCAAACTTACCAGGGCTAGGCATCTGTGGGCTCCAAGGCACCATCATGGTCTGCAGAGTCACTGACAAGCACCTGTTCCAAACTGATGGGATTCTTGATGTTAGCCTTCGACACCCTGATGCCATCTCTTCCTATGCCACTTCTGATGCAAAGTAAGTAGTTCTTTCCTGCTTCCAGAGCTCTATCAAAAATTTTGGTGAAGATTTTTTTAAAATACTCTCAGAGACAAGACAGCAATGAAATAAAGATAAGACCAGAGTAGTCAAAAGATATCTAAACAACCACAAATATTTCATAGAGAAGCTCAAGAAGTACATTACCTTTTGGAAAACCAATGAAAGTTTCCACTCAAAATCCAGTCTAAAAACATCTACATGAACTTTAAGTTTTATTTAATCCTTTCAAGATCTTTGGGTCTTTGCAGAATCCTTCCTTCTATTCTCTTTTCTTTACACAAGTATCATTGTGAAGGCTTTCCTTTTGTAAAATTCTGGGTTTCTCAGTCAAGTAATTGTTGACAGACTTGACAGACTTGAAGTCTTTCAGCAAGTGTTCCGTTGCTGCAACATAATCTTCCTTGAGAAAACCCTGTTTCTGCTTCCAGCTTAGTCATTGAGATAAGGGGCTGCAATTTCAGAAATAACAATGTTTTGTTATTAGCTCTCTGTTAATAATTTCTTCAACCCCAGAGAAAAATAGCAAACAGACAAAGAGCCTCAGTGGAAATCCTTCTATACCCCAATGAAAACATTAAATATACAGAATGCACACGAATAAAAAAAGGAAAGATAGTATGCATATATTAGACTCTATCATGTAATCTATTAAAAACACATTAGAATAAAAATTCTAAGTGCTTCCATAAAAATTTTCCAATACTAAATCTGGAAAATATAGATAGCAAACATTCTGTCACACTTGTTCTAAGAAAACCAATATGTAAATCACAGAGGAAAAAACTTTTACGTTTGATCACATTTCTTAACAGAAGGTAATACAAACTGACTTCATACTTCACCTATCATATCTATGGCATTTCTAAAGTCCTAAATAAATTATTTTAATTTTAAGTAGTGCCATGATTTTGTAAACATATAAATCAGCCATAAATTTTCACAGAGACAAAATCATCAATACTAGAAGACTTTTTACAAAAAGCACTAGTAAGTGTAGTAGAATGATTTTTGGTTTCAGAATTTCAATTATTTAAAGCCAAGGTAGTCCCATGAGATGCAGAATGAGTGACAGCTGATTTCCTTCACATTATATTTAGGTCTCCTTAATAAGTCCCATGGTGAAATACTGGGCTAGCTGTGTCTTTTATTTTTTAGTGTTCCTGTGTCAGGATGTTTTACTGGTACCTCAGAGAATATGTGTTGATTTTCTTCTTGGTATTATTCAGTGGGCCAAATTCATACCTGCTTTTCCTGATTTTGGTCTCCATCCTCTACTCACCTTGAAAATTTTACAAAAGGAGGAAAAATCTTTTGTCTCTGAGATTTCTAGCTCTTGATTTTCTTAGAAAATGCCCAATTAAATTATATAGGGAAATACCAAGTCAGAACAACACAATATACTTAATTTTCTTAATAAAGCAGGCATCAACACTCCACAGCTGATTCTTTCTCAAAACATTGCCTCACATTGTGGGGCTCTGAATTTCAGTTTATCCAGAATAAGGACCCAAAAAAGAGACCAGGAATAACTTGCTGTTTAAGAACTGTGGCAAATAGTTCTTAATGGCTCTTTTGTACTTTTTTGTTGGTCAGAGAATTTTACTTTTTCTAAACTCCACCCATTCCTTCCACTGTGATACCATTTTGGTTAATTTATGTGGAAAGCTACCAGATGTTCCAGAAGCAATTGGTTTTTAGCAGAATGACCTGGTATTTCTGATGGTTATATTAGAAAAAACAGATCTTAGTTCAAAGATACACAATTATTTCTTCACTGCTTTCAAGTTATTTCCTTCTAAGTGTAGTTTGAGTATAAGAGAACATGAACTCAGCTCAGTTTAGTGCTATCACAGGTTCTGTGCATTCTATCTTGTGCAATATCAAGGCAAAGTACTTCATTAAAAGTTCAAACATATTGGAAAAATGAAAGACTTTATGGAATTGGAAAATTAATTTTCAAAGCAAAATTTGGAAATAGCCACGGAAAAAATACAACAGTGGTATGTGGCTCATGTGCGGTATGAAACAAAAGCAGAAGTTGACCTTAGATGATCATAAATTGTGTAAGTAAAACTGGAAACGGCAGAATTTTAAAATAAGTCTCTGGAATGCAGAGCTTGCACATCTATTTTTCTAAGCAGGATTTTAACTTTCATATGCTCTCTTCTTTATGTCTTTCCAATACAGAGAACCTTTAGAAATGCAGCTGATTCTGTGCTCTGCAGATTAGCATATTTTTTATTAAGAAACCTACTTAGAGTCTTTTTAGGTCATTCTCTCTAATTCATGTTCATCTCTTTCATAGAGCTTTGAGGACAGAATGGCAGAAAGATAGCTAATGCTATGTGTCTTT